AAACTTTCTAATATATCTTCTGACCACTTATCATAGATGTTAGAAATATTGGTAGAATCTGTTATTATTTCTATTTTTGAACGGAAAGTTCCGTGTGAATAAACAGTTCCTTCTGGATTTCTTTTATAGAACTCACAAGTTAGAACTATATTAGATTTGGTCGGCTTTTCTTTTCTATTTATTAGATTAACAATCTTCGACTTATTCCTTTCTAGAAATATATTCGGATCTATTCTTCCACCTTCTATTTCATAAGTATTCAGAAAGCCTCGCATAGCCGTCGCCTTCTTTTGGATTCCGGAAATTCTAGCAGAGATATCAGTAAAATCGTCTCTGCTAAGACTAGTAAGACTGTCCATAAGTAACTGAAATTCGTCATTCACGCGACTCATTATATATAACAAATATAAAACTAATTCACAATACGCGAACCATTATTAAAATAGACGCTCTATTATTAACTCCCAAGTAGTGGTAATTTTTACCYAAAATCGCGTTTTTTAACCAAAAATCGGGCTGCTAGCCGTTTGGGCGGATTTAAAAAAATCGAGTGGCTAGCCGTGTGGGCGGATTTAAAAAAATCGCCAGAATCGGCCTATTACCACTACTTCGTGACCGCGAAAAATAGATACTATTTTACTGAAAACAATTATGTAAATATGAAAACATCACCATTTCATCAAATAATGTAAATAAATATTGCAATTTATTTCTGTGCTATCCAAGAATCTTTTATGATATTCTAGAGCTGATTAAGGGTGTTTTGTCAAAGGTCGAAATGCTATGGTCTGCTATGAATGGGAACAACAAAAAGTGGTGTTTCTTGGAACAACGGTATGCAGCTGGGAGCGAAAGTTTTGCTCACAAACGGAGAAGCAAATAAGTCTACAGTGATAGACTAGTGTGTGATTATAAAAGTCTTGTCGTAGAGTTAGAGAGTATCTAAACAAACACTTCGCACGAACTGTGCAAGAAAGGGATCAGACTCATTCAGGTCTACTGGCCAGGTTTCCATTCAACATGTTCAAATCGGAAAAAAGACTACTCTTTCAGTGGCTATTCTTCATGAAAAGGACGTAAACCCGCAGGTCTAGTAGTGACATAAACTACCGGGGATCAAGGGATGGTAAAAAAGAACTCGCACTCGATTTGACTAGGGTGGGACAAGTATGGTTTGGTCGGGGCACTAGAAAGCGACGTACGAGGGCGTTTTCAATTCATAAAATAATCACCGATGTTGTTCTTTTATTATAATAATGTATTTAATGTACAATTTTACTAAATCTAATTACATACATAAAATTTGTATACTTATGGCATACTTATGATTAAAGGACAAATCCTAGAATTTTATTAATTTTCTAGTACGAACCAGTCATTCACTAGTAAAAATCAATTGTTGTGCAATTAAAAACGTTGACCCAAAGAAAAGATAAAAACCAAAAGCAAAAATATTGCAATAAACCTTTATTAATTAATTTGAAACTTAGTAATGCCAGAGGTGTTCCGTGTTCGGTAAGCAATCCCAAAATCTCAAAAGAATCAAAATCTTTTACATTTATTCCTTTCATCCACAATGGTGGTTTCCAGAACTGATATAATTTAAATAAATAAAAAAATCTGAAAATCATATTTAATCTTTGATTTGGGTCAATGCTTTGCAAACGATAGCATTCTTAAAAAAATACCACCAGTTTATTTGTAGGCTGCTGGGTCAACCGACAGCAATTTTAAAAGAACGATTTGAAGTAATTTATACAAATGATATAAAACAAAATATGGTTCATGAAAAACCATAGCCAAGATGAACTGTGATAGATGTTCCTGTAGGTGGTTGTTTGCGGATTGTTCACATAAAGTCAGTTAAATTTGTATTAAAAAAATATTACGGAGCATTGGTTAAATCGATTCTATATTCAAGGGCGAAAATCTACTTCCAATGGCACCTTTCTCCATCATAACTTCCTTAGAGCAGAAAAACTGAGGGTATAAATACATCCGAAAAATAAGTTCCTTGGCAAATCTGCCAGACCCTAGCAGAGAATTGATACACTCCTCTGCCAGGTCTGACAGATCTTGAAGTTTAAAAAGTTTCCTACATCCTAATTTATAAATGCATATAATTGTAAAATTCAGCAGCGACCGTTCAAACAGTCTTATTCAACTCCACACATCTGTAGAATACCGTCCTTTGGCGCTGAGTTTCTTGACAAAGTCAACAGCTTGACTCTCCGTCATACCACCGATCTCTTGAGCAATGCTTTCAATCATTTTATGAACATCTCGTGCCATATTGCGGGCATCACTAAACACAAACCACAAGAAAGTATAATTAGATAAATTGTATTTATAGATTCTGTGGCAAACTACGATGTATGTACCAGCACCTGATTAATATTAACGAGTTTAATGACGACAATTTTTAGAACAAAGCACGTTGTTTTTTTTGTTTTGTTTTTGTTTTTTAAAAATAGCTAGTCTTCGCCGCCTTTTTTATGCCAGTAATTGAAAAACGGCAAAAATCCTTACTTCACACAAAAGGAATTATTTTATTGCTAAGATTACATTTCTTATAATGCATTGCTACACCGCCGCACATTACCTTTTTTATAGAACTTATGCTATTTTAATATCTATACACGGTGTATCCTATCCTCAGTCGTAATTTCCTCAAAATGATGAAGGGTAAAGAATGCCAATGGTCATTTTTTTAAGTTAAGGGAATCCCACAATTCTAGTCGGTCAGATTGACGATACTTACCCACACACGTATATGTGGCCCCCCTGATCGAGAATCTTCCAGATGTCGTCCTTACTTTCCTCCATCTTGTTTTGTACGTACACTTTCTGAGCCTTAAAGAAATTAAAGCAATGATGTTATTGACCAGATTGTATGATATTCAAGGCTCGCCCTTCCATTCAGTCACTTCTATTCACGAATGTTTGCTTTATCATTCTAATTTCAGTAATTCACTCCAATCAATCTCTACTACTTTCATTCTTGCTTTTCCCCTGTTTTTTCTCTATTTATTGTATTTATTCTTGGTGATATCTTAATTCATTTTCTTTCCTGCAATCTTCTCTTTTTAACTTATCCTAATCAACGTTGTTTTCAGTGTTAGTTTGACGTACTTGATCTCTAGAGAACGCAACGTGTAGTTGAGTCAATGCGCCTTCTTTTACAAAGTCTCCTAATTCGTCTTCATAAATGTAGTCCTCGCCCTTCTTCCGACATCCGAAATACAGCACAGTTTCACCAACACGCTTGCCTGCAACGGAACAACAATTCTTTTATTTGATTCATTTGACTTATACATGGTCTGTATGGTGCACAGGTCTACACAGGTCTACCCTCTACACAGCCCTAGTAAGGTACCAGAAAGAAACATATGATGGTCACCATTTACAAGGTTTCTAGCATGCAAATGATACAAAAATGTGACCTTCCTTCTGGTACTTCCGTACTTCCCGTACTTCCCGTTCTTGTACGACAAGTTAACACAAGAAACCCGCCTCCGACGCTAAATCCTTGTATATTACCTTGTTGAACTTGATAACTTCGCTCTTGAATAAAGCCTCGGAAAGGTGCTAGACCCGTACCAGGCCCCACCATGATAACAGGAGTGACTGGTTTGAATGGTAGACGGAAGGTTGTCTTACGAACAAATATGGGAACACGTGGACAGTCGTCCCCTGAAGAAAACATATTAAACGATCAGACCATAAAACTGAATAGTACTTTGACGCCCGTTGTACTATTGCCGTTGATTTGCGGTTGAGCCAGTGCATCATGGGAATACGTTAGTCTGATTGAAGAAAACCTTACAGGAACAAGAAATAAAATAGAGCTAAAAAACCTTCATTCTATACCTTGAGGTATCTTGGTCTTCAGCCACGTGGTTGCCACGCCCTTTTGTTCACGACCTGTATTAGTTTTCCAATGAACAACCACTGCAGTCACATGAATGGATTGAGCGTGAAGCTATAAAACAACATCAACATCAATACTATGACAGGGTAAGTTAAAGAATAAAATTAACAATTAGTTTTGAAAGCCTACCTTGGAAGAAGAAGATATAGAGTAATATCTACAGTGTAACCGTGGGAGAAGTTCAAGGATATGGCCTAATGGAGGTCGTAAAGAAGGAAGATCTTCTAATACAGCAACGATATGTCGATGACTTTTCACAATCCAATCGTTATATTGATGCTGAAAAATTGAAATTCAATTTACAGTTAGTCCAATGAGGTGAGATACAGGACAGGTAGATTACAGATACATTGACTAAGGGTGCTTTCCATTTAGGCAGAACTGGCTGGCCAGTCCACTCTATTTAGAGGTATATAATGCTTTTTGTCAACATTTTTCAGTCATTTCGAGGTTTTCTGTAGAATAATGGATAGAATTTGAAATTTGAATTTCCTAACTAAATGGGAATGATATATAATGACATTTTCTCTGGGTCTGGCCAGCCAGTTCTGACAAATGGAAAGCACACTAAGGCTTCTCTACTTAAAACACAGACCTTGGCTTCTTCAGTGGAATCACTGATGTTCATCAAGAATGATTTTTCCTTTTCGTCCTTAGCATACTCTGCTAGTTCTCTCAACACATGAGTTTTGACTGTGCTTGTGATGTCTACATAGTGAAGTAGTGCTGTACGGTAAGATGTTGGACATGGGAATGGGTGCTTTTTACTAGCATCCTCTGCAACATAAAGTACATGAAAACACTATTATCACTGATGTTCTACAGCTAACATAAGATTGCCAGTTTTTAAAATCCACTTTGAGGTACAAGTATGTATTACATTGCACAATAAACCAATTGAATTGATTGCACACATACATGTATTTAGAAGGGATTTATTAAACCTTTTGCATGTGATATCAAAGCCGTGGCGAAAAACACAGGACATTCTCTCTTTGGATATAAAAATATACTGTTTTGTTCTCCAGATGAAGCTCAACTAAAAGGAATCTTAGATACCACAAAATTTCAATATATTAAGGTTACAGATAAAAACAAGTAAATTATAAGGTTACAGATAAAAACAAGTAAATTATAACAGCTTACCATCAACATTGTCCAGTGACACTACTGTGTCAAGGTCAGTATCAAGTAGTTGACCAATCTTGTCAACCAATTCATGATCATTTGTGGGATAAATACCAACATGATCACCAGCGTCATATCTATCAAAAAACATGTCTTACTATTATTACACAAGTTTACTGTATGTGTCCTTAGGCAGTGGGAGAATGATGCTCAGGTAGGATGACTGTAGTATTTAATCAGTAGTAATGGTTGTTATTGATGGGAGTGAATAATGCCAGAAGGAAAATAGATAAGGTTGTTGGAAATATCAAAAGTTTCTAGCACAAAACTACATCTGTAAATGTCCTTAGTACTCTCATCAGTTGCTCAATCATGATGTGCTATGGGAATGTTAAACTATTTATTTTAATCCATTCAGAGTCGTATATTAATGTGTCTAGATGTTTATTTCATCAAATGCTTACTTGATAGATGATCCAGAAATATCCAATTCAATATGCATACAGGACCTGTCGCCACCTTTGTGGAGTTCACGGTTGATGCGAATTGGTGCAAGGTATGGATTCTTAGCATCAAATGGACTAAAAACAACATGGACATCATTTAAAATCTCCATTTCAAGGGGAAAAAACACATTTGAAAATAAATGAAAGATACTAACGGCCTTTGTCTCTGATAAGATTTGAGACGTGAAACTTCACCAGTGAATACTTTGTCCACTGAAATGTCTGGTTGTAAAACAACTTTGAATTGACGATCAATGCAAGATGATAATCTCCTATAAAAACATAGTGTTTAACATGTTAATTATTATGACTAGTTACTGCAATAATTTATATATTTACAAATTGTCTATGACAGGTAATGTACCTTTTGATATCACGAACATTGATATTATAAAATTTTAATACTTCAGGCCAGAAGTCTTCTCTCCACCTGACAAAATCTTCTTCAATGCTGCAAAGAAAGAAATGAAAAATACATGTGTATAAAAATTTGTTCTTAATTCTGCATTTAATAGAGTGCGGCATACACCCCTTAGCTTAAGACTAGTTTTTGAATGTATTCTATAGTTTCTGAACTAACAAGGGAATGGTAACATTCACAAATAAATAATAGACTTTGAACACTAAGAACAAGTTATTTGTTACTTACTTCCCATCATCATCCCCTTCGCCTCTTTCAAATACCCTTTTTGCCCCCATCTCTTCTAATTTTTTGTCCACAAATCTTCCCATGGAATTGTAGTGTTCATATGTCTTGTTGCCAAGTCCAAATACCTGATTGTTGAAAGGGATAGTAACTCAGACAGTAAAAGAGTTTCATGTACTATAACCATATTATCAATATTTTAGATATGTATTGCAATTTTAACTCACTGCAAAATTCAGGCAATCAAGATCATCACGGTCATTTTGCAGCCATTCATAGAGTTCTTGTGCATTGTCTGTTGGGTCACCCTCACCATATGTTGCCATTACAAATATTGCAAGTCCATCAGTGATCTCACCAAACCTTGTCAGTTCTTCCTAAATATGCATAGGAAAACACATGTAATAATAGCTTTGTGGTACCAAATGAACACTATCAATAAGTAAAAATATACTTGTATTTTAATATTAGGAGTAATGTCCACATCCCTCTAGAGGATTACTAAATTTCTTGAGACAAGGCCTGGATTCTGAACGATGCAGAGCTCAGAAGCTCAGATCTTAAAATAAGGACTTGCAGTGTGGCATAGTCTTGTTTTCCCTTGCATTATGTTGATATTTCAATGAGCTTTACTTACAATATCAACCTCCTCAGGGTCAAATACAGCTGCCTTCAGTCCATAGCGCTGTGCATCTTTAGCTAATCTTCCAGCAAATTCTTCAGCAGTTCCTGTTTGTGATCCATAGAATATAGCAATGGTCTTACCCTAGAGAAACAATCATTGAGATCAGTCACTCATATAGAATGGAATTGGCTCCAGGCAATGATACATGTAATTATTACAATTATTACCAATAGTCCCCTTCACGGTTACATGCGCCATCATAAAAGGTAGCCTTGCTTTGCATCGAAGCGAGACGACTGTTGACCGTGCAATGATAGAAATCTCTCTTTCACACCTACAGACAATTATTCACAGGTATCTATCATTACATGCTCAACGGTTGTCTAGCTTTGATGTAAAGGCACGGCTACCTTTCAAGATGGCGCAGGGAACCGTGAAGGGGATTACTACCAATTATTTGGTTATAAAAGATTAATAATACTATGAACTACAGACAACAACAATGAGGTCATATACCTATAGATATATTGTTCTTATTAAGAGTGACTTAAAATATCATCACAAAAAATAAAAGTATACATCAAGCATCAGTACTGCGATACTCACAGACTTGTTCATTTTCCCAATAAAACTGGTGTCATCTTGTACAACTCTGGCAGTTGGTTGGCTGAAGATAGCAATATAATTTTGTAAATTAAGTTTGGTAAACAAGTTTGAAGTAGCTGTAACAAGTTTTGTATATGGCAACAATTTGACTATGGTTGAGTATATAACTAGTACTGCAGTTATATGTTATGTTATACGTTATAAGTGTAAAGAAACAAAACTGAAAACTCAGAAATAGAAAGAAGAATATTTTAGCAATTACTGATTTTTACTCAGATACGATGACGGTTTTTCTCTGGTGTTCGTTGTGTATGCGATTGGGTTTAGCATCAAATCAAAATCAAATTTGGTTTGGGTTTCATGATATCAGAAATACACAAGTTTGACCTCGATCGTTTTGTATTTGCAAATCCCCCCCAAAATTGTAGTCAATCTTATCTATTTGAGTTTTTTATCACGGTCATCGTTTTTTTTACATGTAAATCAAGTAAACATGCATTATGCTTAGATTGTAGATATTGCATAATAACTTGGTCTCTAGGTTTCAAGATGGAAGCCGGATAGACAAGCATCAGTCAATGTTTTTACAAGACAAGTGGCAAGTACAGCCAAGTATTTGACTTTTAGCCATCAAAGAAGATTTTGGTACTTACACAGTAGTCAATCGATTAGAAGGAAACGCTACATCACTTTTTTTCTTTCTACAAAACCAGTAAACCAAGGCCCCAACGAACGATGCTAACAAGACAACGTCTAAAGTGCCTACATACGATTTAGTGCTTTCGGTATTTGCATCCGCCATGCTATCTTTGCATAAAAATTTTAAAAACTTAAATAAACGGCAAATAAGTTAGGGCAAGAACTTTTCAGTGCTTATTAAGTAATAAAAGTATTAAAGCATTGGCGAGCATTGGCCCTCTTTTGGAGCAACTAGAGGAAAAGATTACACTATATAAACTTAGCAGCCTGGCTTTTTGGAATTTACTATGATGTAATAAGAAAACCGGTTTTGATCAACAACATTAAAGAAGCCGAGTTTAGATATTTTGGTTCAGTGACCATGCACAAAAGAATTGCAGACGAGGCTCCGGGGAAATAAAGAATAAAACGATATTATGCGCTCTTTGATTGGTCATTTTGAAGCGTGCACTTCAAAATAACTCTTTGCAATATTAAAAAAAATAAAATTATCAATGGATAATCTTGATTTATTCTTTATTTCCCCGGAGCCTCGTCTWCAATTCTTTTGTGCATGGTCACTGAACCAAAATATCTAAACTCGGCTATTTATTGTCTGATAAGCTACCGTACCATCAAAGTGAACTGGAAAATTTGAAGAAATAATATAAAAAGTGCTTGTGTCAAATTCACAACTACTTCATAAAATGGTTCTGTTCAAAGCGTGACAATAGATGTCACGGACATCCAAATAACAATATATTGATATCTTAGAAAAAGTCAGCCTAAAAACAGTTAAGGATGCTTTTATTTTGTATTTATGTCATAAAACGAGAAGATATTTAAGTGTCCTAAATTTAGATAATGATGTCGTATCCTGTACTTAGGGAGAGGCAATATATTGATCAGTAATATAACACTGCTGATTTAGGACTCAAGATATTTTGTTTATAATTTGCAAAAAAGAAGACATAAAATGCTGATGGTTTAGCGCATTGTCTATGGAAAGATAAATAATTTTAGCTTTTATTCATTGCATTCCAAAAATAACTAGTCGCGTCATATATGCTCCATGACGAAATGAATGACGTCACTTCATGTGACCGTAGTCAAGAGAGAATACGTGCTATTATCAACGTATTACATTGTAACCAATTATAACATCACACGACAGACTCGCTCGATGTCAATCGACTAATGAGTTCTAAACCGCTGCTTTGGGTTCCCATTCGACATGTTGTCATCACCACTTCAGAGTAAATATATTTTGATAGCGCAGTAGTTAGTGATAGCTCTACTCTTTCCGGCAAGCAGTGGCGGTGTCTATCCTGTGATTGTCGAGATTTTTATCCGAGTTCTATTTGGGGCGTTGGGCTAAGATGTTCCCCTCTACTAACTCTGGATGTATAGTCCCCTCCCTCTCCGTGTCCATCACTGCACTGAGTCAAGATGTAGAGATCAATATTATCATCAATCGTTTATTAACGAATATTTACAATATCAATTCAACATTTATATACAAGATTTCTAGTGATTCATATAGCATGTTTGACAACATGTGCTGCTTCAACGACTGTCGGACCAGACCGTTTGACACGTGGATCCATGACTGGCACTGATAATCTACAAATAAATGTCATAGAATGTCAATCAAAATATCTTACAATGTATTCGTTTGAATGCATGTGTTTCTGTTTGACCATTATATTTTCGGTTCGTTGTTTTGCTGGAAATTTATATTGCGTTTTTCTGAGGATTATCGGTTGTGCTGACACGAATTAAGCTTTCAAAAATAGCCTTAAGATCGGACATTGTTTGGAAAACGCTTCAAAAACGAACAAGTGTGGACGTGAAAAGAAATTTGGAAATGGTGGAAAGAAAAATTGGAAATGAAATGAACTTACTTTACATTGGTCTTGTTATTCACGATGAAAAGCGGGTTGTGAGTGCTGAGAATTTCATCATTCACGGAAATTCCTAAAAAAAATACATTAAATGATTAATATTATTTTGTAATTTTAACAATTAGTTTGAGCTGGCAGAAATTCCGAAAAAGTTGTTGATGCATACGCTCATTAAAGCGGCAAGCTCTGAAGACCTGAGTCTAGAAGGAAAAACTCTCAAAAGTTTGCAAAAGATCATATATCGCTATTTTTAGTTTCAGATATCTCGACCATAGCACTGTATAGCACTGTATATCCTCTTCGTTCACTGGAAATCGGATAGCTTGGAAGATAGGAGGAGCCGACGGGTTCCGGGAAGAAATATATCTGTTCTTATGTCCCAGGCAGCTGTAACTTGGCAGTCACAACTGGTTGCCAGCGAGAAATTCACGAAAAACTTTCCAGGCAAGGAATACTTTCGAAGAATTTTTGCCAGGAAAATAAAAATTTCTTAAGTAAAAAAATAAAAGCTCTTTTTGACCTTAAAACGTTATATAAGCCCTTTTGACCTTAAAAATCAGGAACAAAATTATTCTAAAGAAAGAAGGGCACCACATTAGCAGAAAACTCAACAATGTAGCTCAAAATCCCTTTCCCACGTAAAAATCGTACAAGAACAATTATTAAGAAGAACACACCCCGTCGGCTCCTCCTGAAAACTACATTGGCTGATTATTTTCACAAAAATAGGCATGATTTAGATTAACACTCACCATCAAGGTATTGCTTCAGTATCGCTCTAAGTTGTTGGTTTTCTTGTAACAACGAGTTTTTCTCCTTATCAAGGGCGAGTTTATCTAGTAAAACCTGTTCAGTGACACTGTAAGTATATATATTCTTACATACCATATAAATGTAAAGATAACGACGCTTAAGCTTGCAACACAGTAAAAATTGCAATAAAATAACATTAAATATATATAATATATAAACATTAAATAATATATAATATATCGATAACGATTTTATACTATGTATAGAGACACTTTGTTAGTAAAACACACAAGTCGGTAAAACAATGACGCCGCAAGGCGTCCAATGGGGTATTTTACCACTAACGCCGCATGTCATTTGAAGCCAATACTGTGCTCAAACTGAATTTCGTGATTTCTTTGAAAAAATAAGCAAGTAACTCCATTATTTTTTTTACAAAATATTGTATGTTACCGCAACACCCCCTGACAAATTAATTTAGGACATCCTCTAATAAATTTCTGGATTTGCCTCTGATAGCACTGCAAGTATCCGATCGCATTTACCTTATTATAACGTTTCCAGAAGTTCTCCAGCGAATGGTATTCATGTAGTATCTATGGGTTTAAAGACAAAATGAGATACTTGACAGAAATAGCATTCATCTAATTGAAATATGAATACCTCTGCCAAACCCTCCGAAGGTGATTCCTGCATAGCAACAGCAACATCTTCCTCCTCTTCAGGTGACAATGATGAAGCATAAAACGGCAGAACTTTTTCTTGTTCAGTTTCGAGTTTACGACACATTTCAGAGAGTTTAACAATCCTTTCTCCCTAAATGAAAAATACAATTTGTCTTTTTAATATCTGACAAATAATGCAACAGGCAAACACAATAACCACAGCAATAACAAAATAACAAGCACACAAACAGGTAGAAAAACACGAACAAAATTACCTTCTCAAGTTTTGCAGTGAGCTGTTTGATAGCTGCATTACTTTTCAAAGTTAGTTGAGTTAGCTGAGCTCTAAAATGATAAATTATAAGGAAATTCTTTATCTTTAAAATATCAAAGGAAAATAGGAAAAGAAAGCAGAAGAACAAATGATGTATTACCTCTCAGAATCTCTCATCTTATTCATTTCTGCTTTGAGCTCATGAAACTGTACCCCAACAACTTCTCTTTGCTGAAATAAAACATGATTGTTAATGTATGCCAGATAATACAAGATATACAGATAGTACAAGTCAAATGGCAATTGGCAATGCTATCAAATCTATCATGCAATGGTTACCTCTTTGATCAAGCGATTTCTTTCATCACATTCCCTTGCATTCATTGCCATTTTTGCTTTCAATTGTGACATGTTATCCTAAAAAAATATTGACTGAGGTATTAATCTGTAATCATAGGTCAAGTTCACATAACAAGCAACAAGCAATGACCTAAACTTTCTCAAAGTCCGTTTTTCCTGGTTCGCTTATCTACGTCGCTCGAATTATCAGTGTCCCAACAGTGTGGTCGACTTGTGGGAAGTCTAGCAATGACCAAAAACCTGTAGAATTTGCTGTACATATGAAATATTTCAGATGGTAGTTTTGCTGAAGTGGTAATTACCTGTATTCTTTGAAGTTTTCTCATCTGTGTTTCAATTTCCTTTGCACTCTTCTCATCTTTGTTTTTAAGATTTTCAAATGCAACTTTTCTTTCCTCTGTAGTTTCATTGTAATTTTTAAGAGCCTGTTTATGAAAACATAATACATATTTGATAAGTCAATGGAACACATTCTTCTTATTCTTTTGAATGCTTTACCTGCTGAAACTGCCTCCACAGATCTTCTACTGTGCCTTCTAGCTGTATCCGCAATGCATGTTTTTCTTCAATGTTCTGGGGTGGAAAAAATCAATTTTAATCTTGCAATTCTTTAGAATATTGAAGAAAGAGAAAGGCTTACACTATTACACCTTGTGTAATACCAAAGAAATTCTAGACTTTTTTAACATGTCATACATGTAGGTTTTCCTACTCAGATTTGTTGGTCTGTCACTCAAACTAGCAAATTGGATCCGTGAATAACATTAAAAATGAGAGCAAACCGGGACCAAATGAACAAATCCCTCAAGCTGTAAATATTTAGATGCAACTAGGAATGTCTTACTGTCCTTACTTTGTTTTTGATTTCATCTCTCAAACTTTGGAAATCTTGCTTGGCTTCACTTTCCTGTTCATTCCATTCCTCTTCCATAGCAAAATTGATGTCTTGAATATCATGCATTTCTTTCTTGTGTTGATATTGAATCTTTTCTCTTTTGAACAACAAATTTACCATTTATTTACCCTGACAACTTCAACATTATTTTATCTACCATCAGGCTCTTTGAAGGACAATGTCAACCAGCATTCAATGCGACCATGCTTTAGATTTGGACAAATATCCATTTGACTTTGTAATCTGTTTCCTAGAGAGTCTGTTTGCTTTAAGATCAAGTCTTACAATGTCTCTATTCATGTAGTATAAAGGGATAGGAGAGCTTTTGCTTATATCACCACACATAAACATAAACAAAAGCTCTTAGGGGATGCTTGTTGACCCTGCATGGCAAATTTTACATCATGCACACATTGAATGCATAAATGAAGTATGATTGTATGAGTGTTGTATGCAATCTTGAAAAAATATTTTTGCTTAAAAGTGAAATTTTAATACAGCAAACATACCATTGCCTATTTGTTTATTCACAAATTGAGTTCATGTTAGACTCTTTTATTTAAACTATGTAATTAAATTGCAGATAGTACCTTTCCATGTCAAATTCAATTTTGATAACTTCTTGTTCTTGTGTGAATTCATCCTTTAGTTCCCTTAAACGCCTTTGTTGGAGATCTAAAACAAATCACACACAATTGGTTATTATAGTTGATGAAAATGACAATGCCGTTGATTATCTGAATATAATCTGAATTATAGTAATATCATATCCTATGACAGTTATAAATCAAACCCAGCCCTATACCCACCAATTAATCTGTCTTCATTCTGTAAGTGACTTCTTAATGCCATTTGATATTGTTCTTCAGCCTCCTCAATGTCTTTTACCAAAGACTTAATAATTGCTTCTTTCCTATCAATGACTCGCTCAAAAGTCTGACTAAGAACTTCAATATCTTTCTTTAGCTCCTGAGCTTTTGCTGCAATCATCAAAACATAATATGTCAACATATCTATAACAGATAATGAGGAGATTCGGGTTAAAATTATACTAATGTGTGAGAATGATTTTTGGTCTCATTGACAGAACATGAAAGAATAATAAGGGAAATATAAAAAGGAAAATAAAAACATAAGATTTTAATCAGTTATTGATTCAAAATTCACAATATTACTCTTTTTTGTTTGGTTTTTTGACACATAATACATTTATTTAAAAGAATGAGTCTTTTTGTGGAGTATTTGATCACAAAAAAGCTGCTACTACATCAAGTCGATCACTCACCTTCCCTCATAATGACTCGCCACTGATTTTGAAGTTTATTCAGATTAAACTTTGTACTTTTTTCTTCTTTAGCTAATTTGTCCTGTTCACGAATAAGATAACATTACTTTTAGTACAGGACTCAAAACCAACTAAAGACAAAAATATCAAATTGATCAACGATTTTTCACCTTTAAAAACTGAGTCAACATGTCTTCCTTCTTTTTTCGCATTTCTTCTTCAGCGAGTCGCTTCTGCTCTAAATATATCAGCCTCTGCTCTTCTGTCATCTTTGCTAACTTCTTATTGCCTGACTTTTTCTTTTTGGGAGCCATTTTTACGGAGAAAATAGTGATAAAACAAGAAGGTTTATGTCACGTCAAACAGCAACAAAATTTGGGCTCCACAGTAATTACCATGGTGATAATACCGCTGGCCAAGATAAAAGTAACTGGGAACCATTCTTCGGCGCCCACAGGAAGCCCAAGATGGGATCTTTTAAAACATACTTATGATAAATTAAAAGTAAACTATTTTGATCAGTAAAGTTTTTTAATTTTAAATTTAAGTATTGCTTGGACTCCGAGTGATAAAGGCAAATTATTGTTTTAAAGCCCAAGCATAACCCTGGATGCTTAGCGCGCCTCGTCATGCTCATGTTACACGAATTGTTTTCTGCCGCCGCATTGGCCACATTAGTCGTGACTTGACATATCGTGCCATCGTGCCTTATAAGACTTAAACGGAAACGCGGCCAAAACATCATTTTCTTTGACGGAACTTGGGACTCGTGATGCCGGATACTTGAGCTCGAAGCCGTAGAGCTCTGTGCAGCCATCAAAACTATATATTTGACAAAGATAAAAAAAGACATTAGTTTAAAAAAGAAAATGAATAAACAGAACTGAAAAAGAAAGATATAAGGAAATCCTGCATATTCTTGGGCGGAAGATTATCACTCACGAAACGGAAGGCTTAAAAAAGGCACCCCTGGCGAAAAATCCTTTAAAATATCTTTTTACATGCTTTAGTAGATATTTTGCCAATTAAACCATGCGCTTCAAAGTATGTCCAAATTAGTAGAAAGTCAATCAGCTGGATTTGTGATGTATTATGACTGGGATAAAACAGTACTGCATATTCACATTTTCAGCTTTCGCCAAACAATAAAGCGTGACAGATGTAGTGATAAGTCATTAGTGAAGTTATTTCAAGAAAACGCACAGCCATAGTTCCATAGTCAATACAGCTGGCAATAATCTGGTTCGTCTTCCACGTGCTAAATGAGATCCGGCTTTTTTCAGGGTGTGTCGCTTCTTTTTACAAGACGACTAAGTCCTTTAATGTTTTTTAGTGAACCGAGTGTCATTTCGATATTTTACAAATTCATAAATAAAGTCGCGTTCTCTTTTACGCCATTCGACAGGACGGATTTCTGATTTTCGATGGATGTTGAAACTTGCTGCGACCGCGGCTGCTGTTGACAGGACATGACACGTCTCGCTTCACTTCAGCCGTGACGTATATAAATACGAGACTAGTTCCGCATCAAGCATCCGACTGTTTTCGAAGTGAATTTTCAACGTTATGGAGGGAGAGGGTCAAGATAATGAAGAAAACGTACCAGTCAAACTAAACACTGAAGTAAAAAACAGTATTCGACACACTTTTGAAGCCTTACAGCTGAGTAATGGAAGAAACTCTGCGTCTGGCGAAGTACCGAAGTCAAAGCTACAGGTTCTATGTGCGAGTATTAGTCGAGATTTAACAATTCCTTACTCTTCTGATGACTTAGATAACTACAAGGCAGACAAGAAAAGCTTGTCTTGTGGCGAATTCGTGGATTATTTAGAAGATGAACTTTTACCTCAAGGTAAGGAATATAATAAAGTTGAGTCAGGTTTCGTGTGTGTGTGTTGAATTGTACAATGCTCTCACGAAACTAAACAAACAATACATCTTTTAAGTTTTACGCGCCTTCACTTGTTCATATATATGCTACAAAAAATCAAACAAACTTGTTTTATTAAACTTTATTATCATAAACTCCGGGCTAATATTGATAAATTTTTATTTAAAAATATGTAGAGGTATTTTTAATGATAGTTTTACAGGTTTATACCAGTTTAACTATTTCATAATAATCCCTATAAATGTATTTGTAATTGTATTTATAAACGAAATAAACCAAATGCTCATTTATGATTGGTCAAGGGCCAGGGCTCATGATTATCTCATAGGATATATCATATGTCTGGATACAGCATTTACTAATTTCAACCCCACTTCTTGCTTGACTTCATCACATTCTCTTGTAAACAATATAAATAATAATTACTTTCACTTTGCATGTTTTCAAAGTAATATCCTTTGTAAATTTGGTATAAATGAAATGTTGCAATTTCACATCAAGCAAAAACATTGAGATAAGCTCACTATTACTTTTGAAAACAAGTCTCATTTAAGTATTTAATCTTTTACATTTTTTTGTATTGCATGTAATCTGAGCATTTTACATATTTTCTCATGTATATCAAAATTGATCATGAATTTAATGAGATGTTTCTAGAACATATATTTTGTTTATGGTAACATATGGTAAAGATTTATGTGATTACAGTGCACAAGTCACATCTTTGGGTATTTTGATATTTTTTTAATATATTGACTGACACATAATTTTTTTCATATTGCTTTTGCTCAAATGTATTGCTTTTTCATTCACTTTGTTATGAATAATCTTGTAGACATACAAATAAGCAATCAAACACATTAACTTAATCAAATATGAAATCTATAGCTAGGAAATATTTTTCCTATAATCCTTCTTATAATGAAGCTACGTGTATCATCATCTACTTCTGTTGTATTTCTCTCATTTCAGTATAACCCCCCTTCCCTACCATGATTTATTCATATTATCACCTTAAAGTAATCAGTCAGTGGTTAGTGGTACTTTTCCATCTCATAAACCAGACAAGTACATGTATAATGTAGTTTGTGGAAGATTTTAGAAATCTTACTCTCTTTTATTCACTTTTATTCATATATCAGGAAAAAATGATGAAATACATAAACAACACAAGCTGTTCTGGACAATTGTCAGCCAAACATTTTTCAAACAAAATGAACATATGTTAACAGAAGATGAGACTTACAAACAGTGGATGATGTTCAATGTCTTGGACATTGATGAGACTTCAAGAGTTCACAAAGAAGAACTAGGTCTACTTTTAGAGAAGGCCTGTCATGCTATGGGAAAGGTTTGGAATCCTACTGCTCTCAATGAATGTAGTGAACTGGAAGATTTGACATTTTGGCAGTACTTACAGTGTTTGGAAAAACATTATCTAGTGGACACGGATAAAAGGTAATAGTGTACTTTCATGTTTTGATGACAAGTATGAGGCTTAAGTAGAAGCTTTCAAATCAGTGCTATTTTGTGGGTTGATGTTTTTTCCCATTGATGTTTCAAACATACCAACCTGCAATTTAACATCACCTTTAAACACAAGGCAAACATTTAATTTTTTGAATTAAAAGATCTTGCAGTTTGACACAAAGTTTATGTAACCATTCCTAATAATGTATCTCATTATTGACTCATGTTGATTGAAGAATTAAGTTTATTACAGCATTGTTGTCAAGGTGCTTACAATTCCATGTAGAATGATAGTGATGAATATTAACATGATTTTGCTGAATATAGGATAACAATGTGTCATACTTGTTAATGATGATGATTTATTAATGAGAAGTGTTTTTGCAGTGTTTATCAAGAAGCATTGGAAGAGATTGTCGACTATGTACTTAATGAGGTTCTAATGCAAGGTTATGTCACTAAGAAAGGACATATGGTCAAATCAACAAAGAACAGATGGTTTGTCCTAAAGCCTGAGAATCTCTGCTACTATACCAACCGATCATGTACTGACAAGAAGGGAGAGGTCATCATCAACATCAACACCAAGGCTGCAGCTATACCAGATAGCAAAAAATATCGATTTAATGTCACTTGTGGTGACACTAAAACAAACTATGACTTGGAAGTACGGGACCAACGGACCAAGCAGGAATGGCTTGTGGCACTGCAGAAAGCAATTGGTAAGAAACATTGCATATGCTAGTCATACCAGTCATTGGGTAGGCATGCAACAACCCCCCATTTAACCTCCCCACGCTGTTATTTTCATCCTCTTTGACACACAAATTTCACAATTGTTTTGAGCTCTCACTTCATTTTCAGCAAATAGTGGTGGTCAAAGTGTTCAAAGGAAAGAACGTCTACAAAGACGTTTGGAAAGAAATGAGAAAAAACTGGCAAAACTTGAAGAAGAAAGACGGAAAAGAGAACAAGAAAATTTGCTGCTTGAACAGCAAAAGGTATTGTTGAAAGAGAATTCTTCCACCTCACGGACCACAACACCATTATATAAAATGATATTTTGTGTGAATAGGAGCTGGAATTGCTACGTCAAAAATACTCAGATGCTGAAGCACAAGCCCTTGTTGAAGCTGAAAACTTGCAAGATGAGATACGCCGCAGGGAGGAGTTGGAAAAATTGCACTCGGAATTACAGCAACTGCTCTTGGCTGAAAAGGAAGCGCGGGAAGCAGAAGCGAAGGCAAGAGCTTTGCAAGATGAACTGCTGTTGAATGAGAAAAAACGATTAGAGGAAATGGAAAAAATGAAAGCTGAAAAAGAAAAGTTATTGCAAGAAGAACTGAAGAAAAGAGAAAGTCTCGAGGAAAGACAGAAACTCCAGGATAAGTTGCTTGAAGAGGTACGTACCAAGAAAACGTTTTTTCATCAAGGAACCTCACGTGCTGTATTTGTAACATTGTATATCATAAAATTCGTTCAAGAGAAACTAATATATTTTGTTTTTTCCCCAAGGAAAGACAAAGGCTCGAAGAACTGGAGAAAGAAAGACAAGCTACAGAACAGGCAATGAGGGAAGCGAATGAGAAACTGCACGCAGCCGAAGAAGCCTCCAGAAGGGCTGCCGAGGAAGCAAAGAAAAAAGCGCGGGAAATTACAACCTGCACAGGCCTCGCTCGACCAATTGGTCCGCACATTCCCGCCTTTGTCACCCATAGAGGGATTGGAGCATTTTGCGAAGAGGACTTTGAAAAAATCAATAAACGAAAAAAAGTACCTCCAATAGTAAAACCTAAGCCAAAACGAACTGCAGCAAATGGAGATGACAGTGAAAGCCTGGAAACCGAAGAAAACGGAAGTGAGGTAAATGATGAAAACGTACTTGAAAATGGCGATGGTGACTCAGAAAAAGCAGAAGAAAATCAAGGCAGTTTTGGTGATGTTGAACAAGAACAAAATGATGAAGAATGTACGAATGACAACAATCTTGATGCCGAAAATAGTGAAGTACAGGATGGTGAAGGCCAAGCAGACCCCAATGAACAGAGGTCGGTGGAAGATGGTACTACCATCAGCAGTGAACGACGTGAAGATAATGAAACCCCAGTACAAAATCAAGACGCGACACAGGAAGAAGACGCTGTTGAAAAAGATGGCTCTCAAAATCAGCAAGATAACATCGAATGTAGTGAAGAATCAAGTGAAGCTAAAGGAATCGACTCAGAACCTTCTGATCAAGTTATCAAAAATACTTCTGCAGAAGAAGACAAAATCACTCATGAGGACAATACTTCATCCGATTCAACTGAACAACAAGGAGACGTTGATTCATAAGGATGACAACAAAGAACTCCCTATTAACTTCGACATTAATTTAACAAGTCATCTATGTGTGTGGATTTTAGATTTAACAGTCATCGTGAACGTTGATATGACGGAAGTACAAGGTTTAACACAATGCGCCATAATCATTCTTAGTAAAGGCAAACAGTCAATAGAAACTTTTTTCGATGTTGTATGTAAAGCATTCCATGCATTCCCAAACAAAGATCTTCTTGATGGCGGGGCATTGTTTTTGTGAGGAACAAAAGGAAAGTCTCTAGAACTATTAACACTGACACTTTCAGATGGTTTTCTCAGTGCAGACGACAGCAGCGAAAGCAGCGAAACCTGTGTATATGTATGCATTGTGGGTGACCTTATAAGGATGTCAATAAATTAGATGTATCATATTCTAATATCTTCTAATGAACACACTGATTTGGTAATTGTAGAGTAATTGTGAGGAGAGTAAAGAAGCGAGGATTGTTGGATCATCATTATTCTAGAGCAACAGTACATGACATTAATGGCGACCTCAGCACTAGACTTGGTTTTTATTATATTGTTCTCGTCCGAAATAGTTTATGGTTGAATTGTCGCAATGAATTAAATAATAATAATTTGTATTTATTAGTATGAAGGAAATGTTGTCGTTTGATTTCAATATGCTTAACATGAATTAAATTAAAACAATGAATCTGAGTAGTGCAGTTCAAGTTTGTCAACTAATATCAATTGTAAACTAATTGTCTACGGTGTTTGAACTACTCAATAACTCTCAGTGTCACAGTATTTTGAATATTTTAAAGATCTTTTCCAGTGAAAGTCTCAGTCGTGCAACCATTGACCAGTCCAATACTCATTACTCCATTCAGAATATGAAGACCGATATACGTTGAAAATATAACAAGATGCGGTTCTGCAAGGCTACCAAAGTTTGGAAGAAATCTTTGACAGAGTGCACATGTTACGAAAAAGGCAGCTCTATCTGTGTCTTCACAGGAGCACTGATTTTCTGTTGGATTTACCCTTCTCTTGCCTGGTGACTTGAATGTAGTTTAATCCTGATGAAAAACTTGTTGTTCCGTTGGGAGGGCAACGTCTAGTAACGTCTGAAGACGTGCAATCATTTTATCTGCAAAACAAGTAGATATAAAAGATCTCCATCAGCATATTGTCTACTCAGGCATTCGGTATGTATGAGAAGCAATAGTACTGGCGATGTTTGTGTTGTTTATCTCAAATAATTGTCAGGGAATGCACATTCACACCAAGAATATTATCATATAACAATCTTTTCTCCAGTTGAATCGGGCTTACATTAGATGGATATAATTAGTGTCACTAACCATAACGATCCATAATGCACTTCGGCACGGCTTTGTAGTAAACAAACACGAAATAGACAGGAACCCCAGACAAAGTTGCTACAATGCAGTACATGGATTCAATCGGTGATTGATAGAATGGTGCAACAACCAGATAGATGGATATGAGTAACATAAAACAAGGAATTCCTGTCCAAACCTGAACAAAAATGCCGTTAAAATCAGAGAATGAATTTGTGACTGTGCTATAAGTTGCGTAAAATAGTTTTTCCTTATAAGGGAATAAATACCTTATAAGGACGATGCTGATCTTTCTTTGTATAGCGAAACATTAATAGAATAAAGAATGTAAGGCCGTAAACAAACCACGCAATAAAACTGAAGAAATTTAACAACGTATCAAAGGTTGTCGCGTCAGGCAGCAGGACTATGAAACCTAAAAGACACTGAACAAGAAAAAAACTATGTAAGTACAGCAACAAAAACAATCGAACTGAATGGATGAGTGGATGGATGCAAGCATGAGAAGATAGAGGGATGGATGGATTAACGGATAGAGAACACGACATGGAGTATACATAGATTCAACATCGATTCAAACAATATGGCTTACATTGAATAACATCGCAGGTAAAGGTGTATGATTTTTAGTGTGAACCATTGCCAGAAAACTTGGCATGTGACCTTCTCTCGCTGATGCAAACAGCAACCTAGAAAAAACCGTAGACATTTAAGTTACTTACCCTCATATTGCCCTTAATTCCTGTCGTATAGGTTACGTCCGAAATGCGAATTTTACAGATTTTTTGGTGTTGTCTATCAAGCTATTAACCGTAATTTCGTTATTGGCATAATTTCGTGTCCGTAATACCGAGGTGTCCGTTATATTGGCAAAACCTCGTTCAGTGACCCATGTCATGCAGTGAACGTTCAATATTTGTAACTGCAGATAGTCTCCTCCTTGCAGAATTACGTTACGCGTGACCGAAACTAAACACGGCTGCGAGGAGAAGACTGCAAGAGGTCGTACAATCAAAAGCTGTGTTTGACGTCACAAAGTCTGACATCACTGGAGCTTCATAGCTAAACTGATGCTTTGTTAAACTTTTCCTGTTCCAAACAAGAAGACGATTTCAGTTATCTGAGGTAAGGTTCTATGTCATTTCGTATTTAAATGCTTTCCGTATTGTGTTCCTTAGCGAGCAGGTTTCCATTTATCTCAACACGAGCACTTTGAAGGAATTGAATGCTATTTTAACGATTTGCCGAGAATATAATCCAAAAGGTTACTCTGAGCTATAACATCATGCCTGACATCTGGGTACCGTACAATAAAAGAAAATTGAAGGTGGACTTTACTGGAGATAGAAATTGGCGTGAGTCAAACCCCATCATGAATCAGGCAGTTATAGAGGAATATATCACATCTATCAAGGCAAATATCATCATTGCCACAGATGGCTCATTGAGGGATAACACCACAGCATGGGCAGGAGTGGTTTGGAAGAATAATAGGCATTTCTACAGCTGGGGCACACGTAAGCAGGGAAGGACAAGCTCTTTCCGTGCAGAGTCAGAAGGCTTCGAAGATGCTTTAGTTTGGATCAGTAAATATGGAACTTACAACGACACCATTGTACTGCTAACAGACTCTAAAAGTCTAGTGGTTAGACTAAAATCAGGATTAGTGAAGGAATCATGG